TTGGCACATTTTGCACTGTAACCTAGGACAACACAGCTGTAGGCTGCAGCGTGTGTTGGCTTGCTGAACTGATTCGTGAGCTTAAAACGAACCCCCACCCTCCCCCCCATACCCCAAGCAGGTGATTCAGGTTTGTGTGGGCCTGCGAACAGTTCAGGCAAAACTGTGCTGCATAGGTGAGAGTGATTAACTGGAGCAGTAGTCTGAGTAAACTGTAAGAAAATGGGGCTAGTGGCAGTGTCTAGCTTGGTGATTGCCTATCAGTAGGGACCACACAACTGGCCATATTTCAGTAGCTCCCTGTAGTGAGTGTAACTTCTTTTGGCCCTTCTCAGACTCTCAAAGCTAGCTTGTCTTCCCTTCCCTATCCTGTTTTAATAGTAACCTACCAAACACATCAAGTTGATTGTAGCTTCTGCTTTGGAACAGAATATGTAATTTCCAGTAACTATTCTCAAATTATTCCTTAATTGTCAATGGGTTAGAATGGACTGCAGTGAAACTTCTTGTCTATTTTTTCTGTCTTTTTGAAGAAAACTGTACTTTGATTTAGAATAAGATTTTACAATTTTTACTAAAATAACTGTCTTAAATAGTAAGTTTCCTTCTGAATAACAAATGGAATATCAGTGTCTTCAAATATTTAACTTTTTTGTGTCTTGTATCGTATAGACTAAAGCAAACTTGGTAACACCACGAAATGGAGAACCTCTTATTGCTGCTATTCAGGATTTCCTCACAGGTGTGTTAGTAAGGTTATTTTAGACCTGTGTGATATAACAGTTGTTCCTTCAGAATCACTTCCTTCTTTTCCAGAATTTTTCTATATTAATTAAAACTTTTCCTTTCACAAGTCAAAGGGACATTATGAAAGTAAGGCCATTGTTAGTCTGAAGTATAATGATGACCTTAGAGTCTATTCTGATACGGTCTACCTTTGCAGCTGCAATTATTACTACCTTTGCATATGTTTTGCAGTGTTTCTCCAACTGAGAAAATGAATGTTTGGGATCTTTGTCTGCGTTAAGTAGACAATGTAAGCTGCTTATAATTATGGTAGGAGAGTTGAATTCATTAGTCAAAAATTAGTTTTAACCTACAGTAGGTAACTTGAAGTTTCCTTAATTCTTTGGGAAATGTCTAATGGATATAAGCAAGAAATTGTACAAAAATTAATGCCGAGGCCTTATTTTTACCTATGGGATAGAGTCTGAGAGAGAGAATAGCTTATAGAAATGCACTGATTCTAATTTTTAGAAATTAAAGTGTGAAACAAAATTCTGGAATGGATTTACAACTGAAGCTGTCTAAACTATTGTCATTTTGCAAAGTAGGTAACTAGTATTAGAATTAAGTCATTGATACTGAGTGTGCAATAGCTTTTAAATTTAATCTCACTTTAGTTTGTGTCATTAATAGTTTTTTACATTCTAGGTGCCTATCTTCTTACATTAAAAGATACATTTTTTGATCGAGCCAAAGCCTGTCAAATTATTGCTTCTATATTGGTTGGCAAGGATGAAAAGATTAAAGTTCGTCTTCCACCTCCAGCAATTCTGAAGGTGTGTTGAACTATTATTTTAATGTTACTAAGCCTTTCTTTGTTGTGTGTTCTTGACCCATGGTAATGTTCTTAGCAGAGACAGTTCTTGTTTTCTCTCACATGAGTTTTGTATGAGATTTTGTATTTGTAAAGCGTGAAGTACAAGGGTCAGAATTCGGGGGCAAAGCTATGCAGAAGTTGTTTGATGGTTCCTGGTGCTGAACGGTGTGGACCTTGCATGGTGCAGTCCAGATGCAGAGTTCCTTCTGGGTTCAAACATAGCTTTACTACTGCCTTGCCACTGTGAGACAGACCAATTGGCTATTAGCAGCAGTAGAAGATACATCATTATTTGTAATCTCACTGTTACTAGCTGTACAGACTAATACGGGGCGAAGTGGAGGAAGTACGTTATTCCTTGGGTGCCCTCAAATAATGTCCTGAAATGCTCAACAGTTCTAGGTTTCAGTATCCCAAATTTAGGAGATATTAGACCTGTGAAATAGTATGCGTTAGTTGTTAACCTGGCAATGTGTTAAAGATTAAAGAGGGTGAGTGCTATGGGATTTTTTGTTGTGGTTGGTTGGTTGTTTTTTGTTTGGTTTGGTTGAATTCTTTTGTTTGTTACGTCCCATATGCAAAATATTTATCATGAAGGGCAGAGTATTTGTGTGTCTATCACAAACTTTGAAGATAGCTGTAGTATCATTTATTAGGTTAGGGTCTGTTAAGCCCTCATTCACATACATTTAAGGGTATCTATATTTCATTAACTGTGTATTTGAGGCGAACAGTATTGTTTGGAGAGTTTCATGTGTTTTCAAATACTAAGTATTGGTGTATACTTTTTTTAATACTCTGTATTTAATTTCAAAATAGTAAGCGTAATATTAGGGAAATTCAGAAAGTGAAATTGAAATACCAGTGAATAATACTAATTTATAAGCAAGGTCAGAGCATTTATGGGCAGTATCTAATATGAATTTTATAACTTTTGCTAATAGCCAAGAGCAGTACTTTTTTGACTGCTTCTGTCATTCCAAATGAATAATTTTAGCGCTAGCTGTGACAGTTACTTTACATTTAACTACAGCTTAGGGGAGTACATAATTATATGAAGGCACTGTTTAAAGAAGGAATTGTAAATGTTGCAACCTGTTTGAGAAATGAAATTACCACAGTATCATGTGAGGGTTTTCCTTTTCTAATCAGAAAGGGAAATATGACAATAAGATAGAGTGATACAGCATGTTTCTTTAAATGCATGCACATACCCCTATGTAAAGGAAAACCATTCAGCAGTCAGTGGTTTTGTGTCTCAAAAGTGCGTAACACTTTCCTATTCAAAGGAATGCTACTATGCACATATAACCATAGAAAGGTTATGTATAGAAAACAATTTTACAATTAAATTCTTGCTTGCTGTTTTACTGTAGTTGTAGCATAAACTCTGTAATTCTAATTCTTGTCCTTTTATTTCTTTAAGCCTGTAACACTCTGGACAGGAAAACAGGTTTTCAGCCTCATTCTCAAACCCAGTGATGACTGTCCTGTAAAAGCTAATCTACGAACCAAGGGCAAACAGTATTGTGGCAAAGGAGAAGACCTGTGTTACAATGATTCTTGTGAGTGACAGTTCTAAAGCTATGTTTTGGAAGTCTTAAAGAAATCGTAGCTATTGTTTTGTTGTGTTTGTTGCTGTGAGCTTACTGGAGGAGTTAAAGCAGTATTTCACATAAGTATGCTTGAAATGAAAAATAAAGCTATGCAGTTTTTCTCAAAAGTTGAGGTCATGCTGAACATGAAAGAAAAGACTTGGGTGTTTTCTTGTAATGAAATTTCTTTTATATGATGCTAGACGTGTTGTGATACTAGCATAGTATTTGAAGGTGAGAGAGATAAAAGCAAAGAAGCTTAGGAAGTGGTTGTGTAGACAGCAAATGGAAAAAATTAGTATCTTAAGTGGGAGTAGTAATACAGGGATTTAGAAGTTAAACAGTGAAAGGAGTTAGGATATGTAGGGAAGATGGGAATCCCTGGGATACTCATCTATCTGTATGTTTCCAGTTAGGGAAGCCAGTGGCGGATGGAGTGTAAAGCATCAGGATTGAAGAGGCTGTAGGAGATGAGCAAGACTTTGCTTATTAATTTAACATTCATGTGGTAACAGCTGGAAAAGAATTTGAGCAGGCAGGATTACCTTGGTTGCTTGCTGCTTGGGAGTGTGTTAAGAAACCTAGGGAGGATCCATTGATTTACAGTAATTCTGTCATGCAATGTTGATCTGAGAAAGAATTACCAGTTAGGACTCAAATCCACTCTACACCAGACTAAGCGATTTCTTGAGAAGATAGGACCACTCTGGTTGTGAAGTTGGTTCTAAACATGGTGGCATAATTTTTTTCAGCCTCTAAGGAACATGGTGAAAGGCAACAAAGCAATCCTGTTCACACTTATGTGAATGTAGGCAGTCTCTTTTGCTCTGCAGTCTTTGCATTTTGGGAAGTATGGGAAGAATTTCCATTTTCTGAGTTTGACAGTAGCAGATGATGTGGAAAGCTTTTGGATTTCATTGGTGGCTTTGTTCAGTACTCTGAAAAAACTTAATTTCTGAATCAACACTAATTCTCTTCAGGAAGTTCTCTGCAAATCCTCCAAAGTCTCAAGAAATCTTGGTATTGTATTTTGATTGTATATAGTAAGTGATAGAGCAGTGACTTCTGGTTCAAGAAGATGATTACCTAAATTCACATTGAAAATACTGAGCATAGAGTGTGGTGCGCAAACATCTACAAGCATTCTGCATAAAAGGATGTAAATTGGATCCATCATCTTGGAAAGATGCATAATGAAGTTGAAGATGAACATATATTGTACTGCTCTCATAGAAAACATGTCTAAAGTTCTGTACAGAAGATATTTTTTAATTGGTTAAAGACTAAAGCTTGTAAGGAAGATTCAGTGCCTGAAATGGGAGGTTCCTGATGAAGCAAAAGGAAATAACCTAAAAGAGGCAGCGTGTACAGGCCTACAGGCAAGATAGATGTCGCTATGATGTGCTTGTAATTAGAGAGACATCTGAGTCCAGCGTGCCTTTTATATTTAAGCTATGCCTCCAGAGGTGACTGAGTTGAGCTGAATATCAGAATCTTTGAGTAAGAGAACTGTAACTTCGCTTCTGAAATTTTGTTGCTCTACTTCATAAATAAATAAGTAGCATTGGTTTATGATGAATGATTGAGGACTTTGTTTCTGGACGGATGAGATTGAAGACTTCATTCTGATTCATAAATAGAAGTTTATTTTTAGATTTTAAACAAAAAGGATTATTCACAATGTTTCTGACAAGTTTTAAATTAGATACAGTTGCCTTTCTAAGAAGGAAGGGAAATAAATTTTAACTTAAATTGGTAAAGTCAGGTTGTAGGCTGTTCTCCTTATACTTCCTCATGCACTTCTAGAGGTACATTAGCTGTCTAGAGGTACATTAGCTGTATGTGTTTGGGCTTTCTTCTTTTCATGCTCAGAGCTTTTATTTAAAACCTGCTCCATAACTGATTACGAGAGTTTGGGTAATGTTTTAGACAACCAATTAATTCTTTTTGCATTATTTTTTCTAGATGTCACAATTCAAAACAGTGAGTTAATGAGTGGCAGTATGGACAAAGGAACCTTAGGTTCAGGATCCAAGAACAACATCTTCTACATCTTGCTGAGAGACTGGGGACAGGTAGAAGCTGCGGATGCCATGTCGCGACTAGCCAGACTTGCTCCCGTCTATCTTTGTAAGTGCATTTCCTTGTAAAATAGTATCTTAAAGCAGAAATACAGAGCAATCAAGCAAGATTTTTCCTTCAAATGTGATGTGCTGTGTTTAAAAACATAAGCTAGTTGTGAAGGTGACAGAAACAGTGAAACAAGTGATTGTGCTCATGAGGGTCACATGATGGGAGGAAAAAAAGTTCCTGGAGAAAATACTTCCTAGTTTTAATTTGTTTTCTCTAGATGAGATTAAGCTATCAATGTAATTTTTTCTTCATTTTTTTATTTTTAATAATAGCTAATCGTGGCTTTTCAATTGGAATTGGTGATGTAACCCCTGGGCAGGGCCTGCTAAAAGCTAAGTACGAGCTTCTGAACGCTGGCTATAAGAAATGTGATGAGTATATTGAAGCTCTGAACACTGGCAAGCTACAGCAGCAGCCTGGTTGTACTGCAGAAGAGACATTAGAGGTAAAATTTTTCATGTAAATCACTGTACATCTAGAATAGAGACTTCATGAATATATTCACATAAATTGTGCAGTTCAAAGCTGTCTTCTGAAACCTAAAAATATGAGCAGATGGGCTCCCTAGGTGCAGTACTGTAGCTGAGTCTGTCTAGGCTTAAATTTAGATGTTTGTATGCATCTAACAGTGTTAGCTAAATACTGAACAACTGAGATCCTCCCTCCTGGCTGGATGTATTCAGGGTGACATACAAGAGAATAAAATTATGTAGGTAATTGGTACGGCATTAATTAAATTTATCAATATTTGCTAAGTTAATAAAGAACAGTGACAGTAAAGAATCTAATCTAAGAAGCAAAATATTCCTTTAGTTATAGGAATATACAAGTGTTTTCTTGCCCTTTACTGGGGTAAAAGTTAAGTGGACTTGGGTTTTGCTGGGTTTTCTGGTTTTTTCTGTAGAAATTTTGATGAAGAGTAGTGAATGTTGCACAAAAGCTTGCAGACAGGGACTTAATGAAGTCAGAGGAAGAACGCTCATTTCATTGTCTTTAATGATTGTATGCATTTGTCTTCTTGACTAGTCAATGTCCAGTTTTTACCTTTAAAAAAAGTAGAAAGAAAAAAAAAAGGGAAAAAAAAAAAAACCAACCACCACTAACAACCAGAAAACCCCACCCCATGATGAAATACTGCCACAGTTCTCCAGCTTAAGTGGCACTCTGGCTGAAAGAAGTGTCTTGCAGTCTTTTTGACTCTTCCTCTTTTCAGACACCTGTGCATGTCCTAGAAAGGTGTTTGGTGGTTTTGTTTTTTTTTTAGTAGAGTTATGTTCTTAACAATTAGAGATATCAGCATTGTATTCTCTGAAAGCAGTCCAAAAATATTTATATTTTTTATGGTAATCTTTCACACAGTGCGGCGAGACTTGGAGCTTAGTTCAATGCTCAGTTTAGCTTAAGCTGGTTCTAGTGACAAAAGAGGTTGTTGTGTCCCTGGCTACCCCTGTGTTATCCTACAAAAGACTTTCTGTGCAGCAAACTGGAAAGTCAGGCAAGCTAAAAGTCAAACTTGTTTTACCCAAAGCAATGTCTAGGTTTGTTTCTCTTCATGGTATTTTGAATTCCCTTTGACTACTGAAGGTATTGCTGGCAAGTGATAGAGTACTGTTTTTAATGAATGCTAAATCTCTGAAATCTCGCATTTCAGGCCTTAATCCTTAAAGAACTCTCAGTTATTAGAGATCACGCTGGCAGTGCTTGTCTCAGAGAACTGGACAAGAGCAACAGTCCCCTTATCATGGCTCTCTGTGGTTCTAAAGGTAGGGATAGCTGAGCTTTGGAAGTAGACTGCTTGTGCCATCATTGCTCTCAAAATTACTTGTTCTGTCTTCATAGCTTATTTTATACAGTCAGTTGTGCAAGTATTAATTTCATGTCGTGTAATTTTGGAGTGACTCCTCTCAGTAACTCCAGGTTTGGTATAGTTAATTAAAATCAAGCTGATGTGCTAGATTTTGTGCCTTTAGTTTTTTTTATACAAGTTGAAAAAACATTCTAATGGAACTTTAGATGTTCTTAAGACTCTAATCAGTAAAAAATTTTTAGTTGTGCTTCTGACTTCAAGTATCTATTTCACATACAAAAAATCAACTCGGAATGATATATTGAGAATTGGAACTAGTATTTCAGCCATCTGAACTGCTTTGTTTCTGAATGACCATCTTTGTAGTAAATATTTGATTTATATTCAAATACTTACTTGAGCTTTCCTTTGTTTCCTGTGAGAACTTGAAGAAAACACTTAACTCTTTACCTTTATATATCTGTCTCTAATACGTTGCAGAAAGCCTTTGGGTGACATATTCTATTTCTAAGAAATACTGAAATCTAAGAAGGAGGATATATTAAGTGTGTAATTTGGGGGGGGAAGAGGCATTGTTTGCAAACATGTTCAGCAAATAAAACTTCTGAATTAGTGACTTAAGTCTCTGAGACTTAATTTGTTCTAGGAGTCTTGGTAGACACTGAACTGCTCATAAAATTATTGTTAAAATATATTTATTGAAGAAATTGTGAAGCAAAATGTCTAGGTTAGGGTCATGGATTATGTAAAACACAATTCATAATACAAAACAGGGTAGTGTAAGGACTGTAGTTGTCAAATAGCAGTGTCAGGAATGTTTATGACCCAAAGAAAAAAAAATTAAAAGTTCTTCTTAGTTATTATCGTAGACTTAGTTGCCAGTCTCTGCATAAATGCTGAAAATTACAGGACTGGTAATAGAAAAGCCTCTTTAACTGTTGCAATTCTAAATGCATTTTTGACAAATTACGAAGCTAAGTAATAGATCTTCATAGAAGTGAAGACAGCTTATCAGAGGAGCACTGATATTCCACGTTTGTGAGTGAGATAAATTTCTTTCTTTCTTTCTGTTCAGGCTCCTTCATTAACATATCTCAGATGATTGCTTGTGTAGGTCAGCAGGCTATCAGTGGGTCCCGAGTTCCTGATGGATTTGAGAACAGGTCCTTGCCTCACTTTGAGAAGCATTCTAAGGTAATTCTGTATGTTTACAATACACTGTAAAGAAAAGTAAAACAAGTTGTCCTAAACCATTTTAAGAAGGGCACGATAGGATGTGTTGTCATGACACAGTGAAGGAAAAGGATCACATTTGTCACTAGATGTCCAAATTCAGCTTTTGAGTTCTGTAATGTAAATTTTTTTTTCTTTCCTGAATAAATTAAAGAAGAAAAAAATATTTCATGGATTAGATAAGGAAGAAGCTAAAATTTAACTATACCTTTTTACTGATTTAGAAGGCACTACCTGTTAAACAACAGCAAAAAGTGATCTTCTAAGATGAACCTCTTTGTAGGCTATATGTTGTTCTATGTGATTCTATGTGATTCCATGTTCTGTGGAGGCAGTTTGGTGTTACTTGACTTAAAGGGCTGCCTGCATAAAGTTCATTCGCAAAAACTCTTCTCAGACGTTGAGAACAAACCATTCAAAAGAATTAGTTATGTACATACATCCAGTCGTATTTTTTCTGTATTCCTTAGTCTTCAGCATTGCAAATACCTTTGTTATACTATTGCAAAATGAACGTTCTTACCACCCTTTCAATTTTTGCAACTTTAAAGGAGGCCAAAATGTTAGAAGTTGGTGTAGTGTTTGCAAGGAATGGCTAGAAGCATGGCAAGGCTTGCAGGAGGAGAAAGAAAGTCTATTAGATTAATTTTAAAGAACTAGGCAAGGGTTTTGAAGCCAATCACAGAATGGTAGTGGTTGTAAGGGACCTCTGGAGATCACCTAGTCCAACCTGCCCTGCAGGGTCACCCAGAGCAGGTTGCACAAGACTGCATCCATGCGGGTTTTGAGTATCTCCAGAGAAGGAGACTCCACAACCTCTCGGGGCAGCCTGTTCCAGTGCTCTGCCACCTCACAGTGAAAAAGTTTTTCCTCATGTTGAGGCAGAACTTCCTGTGCTCCAGTTTGTGCCCGTTCACCCTTGTCCTGTCACTGGGCACCACTGAAATGAGCCTGGCCCCATCCTCTTGACACCTGCCCTTTAGATATTTGTGTTGATAAGGTCCCCTCTCAGTCTTCTCCAGGCTAAAGAACCCCAGGTTTCTCAGCCTTTCAGATCTAAAATACAAACATTGAACTTCAAAGCTAAATGCAGTTGAGACGGTTGCTCTGTGTTTGTATATGTATTGGCTAACTATCTGAAAGAATTTAGATGACATACAACATGTTTTTCCATAACATGCATATAGAATGTGTATTGAATTTTTTAATGTTTTTTCACTGTTCTTCTCTGTAGCTGCCAGCAGCAAAAGGCTTTGTTGCTAATAGCTTCTATTCTGGGTTGACGCCCACTGAATTTTTTTTTCATACAATGGCTGGTCGAGAAGGTCTGGTTGACACAGCTGTAAAAACAGCCGAAACTGGATATATGCAGGTAACTGTCAGTGGGTGGGGGGTTTTCTCAGTGTTGCAAAAGGAGGATATTTCTTATACGCGTGTTGAGCTGAGGGGTGGGGGAGAAGTGCATACATTTTGTGTGTGTTTGTTTTTAATGTAGCAGAGAGTAATTTACACTGAAACGCATGACTGCTCCTGTAGATGTAAGGTTTGGAAACTACACCTCAAGCAATGGTACAGTAACATGCTTCTGTTAAGCTGTTTCCTCTTGAATAGGGGTGATGATAACTCTTGTTCTATGGAATTATTGAGGACTACTTTATACATAGCATGCGTTCTGAAAACCCACGTGAATTATGGAAATTTCGTACATATGTTATACATACATTTGGGTTGTGAGTGCTTTTTTTCAGATACAGTATTTCAACAATGAGAAACAGCAAACCCAAATCCTTGGTTTGGGTTACTTAAAAAAAGATTGTCTGGATGACAGAAATCTGGCTAGAGCTCCCTTTCAGTATCTGTCCTCTTTAGGTAACAGGCCCCTTGGCCATTTAGACTTGGACTTGAAGTTCTGTAAGGTATTAGTATCTTTGGCTGTATCTTCTGTGAAAACAAATGTTCCTCCAATAATGCTTCTAGCTATTATGAGCAGTCTTAAGACTTCAGTGAAATTGTTTAGGTAGTATTTTAAGTATAGTCCTCTTCCCAGCATAACAGGCAGGAGAAAAGCTAAGATAATTTGGGGCTGGGGACATGTTCAGAGATATGCAAGTAATTCTACAAAGACTGAAATCAGTTCCTGGTGGCGTGGATGACTGATTAGGTCATTTGTCTCCCAAACTAACAGAATAATGTTTGCATGTGTGCAAGTATATACAAATATATGTAAATATAATAAGCAACCTGCAGAATATTTTTTCCTCATTAACTTTCAGCCTATGTGAATAGACTGTAGCACTTGGACTTTAGAATTTAAAAAAAATATAAATTTAACATTTATTTCATTTTGCCATTTTCCTCCTCAGTGAAAAAAATTACCAATTTATATGCTTTAGTGAGCTAATTTCCTTTCATAGAACAATGAAGTCCATCTTTCAAGTAAAAATGTTTTTAAGCACTAATGGTTCATAGCATGCCTTCTTTTTGGGAAACAGAGGAAGGAAGGTTGGTAGTAAAGGGATTTTGCAATACAATGAATTAATGTAAGAGAAGTAGCTAACACCGATAGAAAAACAGCACCTACCGGCTTTGACGGATGAGCTTTTTGGTTTTTGTCAGCAAAAATGATCGTTAACTGGATTTTCTTCCATACACAGGAAGTGTTGTATCCCTTGAGAGATAAACCTGACTGGAAGACTATGAATATTCTGTCAAAAAAAGATTAAAAAAAAAATTCCTCGGACTATAATAGATTCTTGCAGCTTTGCATTAGATTTCCCATATGATTGAATTTCTATATGTGGAGAATAGTGTTGTTGCTTTAAGTTTTATTATTGTTGCATTTCATGTTTTGGGTAATGTACAGTAAAGCCCTAGAGATAATGTATGACTTGAAATAGGTTTTTATGCCTGCTAATCACTGTATTATATGTATTTCCTGAGTCCAGTTTCTATACTTTTTGTAATCCCGATCAATAGCTATTTTTAAAAAGATCATGTTTACTTTCCTTGTACTTTTTTTTTTTCCCCCTTCAGAGGCGGCTGGTAAAATCACTTGAAGATCTTTGCTCACAGTATGATTTGACAGTCAGAAGTTCTACTGGTGACATTATACAGTTTATTTATGGAGGAGATGGCTTGGATCCTGCAGCCATGGAAGGGAAGGATGAACCGCTGGAATTCAAGCGAGTTCTAGACAATATCAGAGTAAGGATTACTGAAGTCTTTGTTGCAAGTCTGAAAACACTATTAAGCATGTAGGAGGAAGTAAAAAATTATGGAGAGAATTGTTTGAGTTGAAGAATTTGGTCTTAAATTACCTTTTTGAATGGTCCTGGTCAGTCTTTCAGCATGTGTATGCTAAGAGTTATAAATTATTTTTTTTTATGTTAGAACAGAGCAACTAGGACCAAACTGTTTAAGCTGCAAAAAATAGAAGTGTGTAGACATAGTTCTAGGGCATAATACCCAACTTGCTAGATAAATTACTACTGGCTTAGCTGGCTACTAGATGGACTTGTATTACACAAAGCAATTCTTTACTAAATCAAGACATGCACGTTCTTCATGTTTAACTGCTTCTTAGGTCAGAGGCCTGATGTGTTCTTGAATAACTCTGGACATACTGTGATGTTTGAAGCATGATATTGTTTGATTTTTGGTTTGTTTGTTGGTTGCTCTCCACCCCCAGAGACAAAAGCCTTTTGCTGAAATGACTGTTCAGATTTCTGTAATGTGAGTGTAATGAATCGATAGAATTAGAAATGTGTGTGTGTGTGTGTACCTTCGGATTTGCATAAGTAAGTAGAAGTGTACGTGGACCTTTTCTTCACAATAGTCTGGTATTTCATAGTTCAAAAAAAAAAAAAAACTAAATGCTCTTAATCAGTTGTACGTATCTATATTCTGTGTCTTTACAATGAAGTTTTTGTGCACATGTTTTACGTGAAGAAGTAATTTTTTTCCTCTTAAGGCTGTGTATCCATGCCGAAGTGAACCAGCTCTTAGTAAAAATGAATTGGTCTTAACGTCGGAGTCTATCATGAAGAAGAATGAATTTATTTGCTGCCAAGACAGTTTTCTGCAGGTGATTATCTCACTTCCTTATCACACTGTAATTAACTCTTCCTTACGAATCAAGGAAATTAAATGAAATGGTTTTATCAATCTGTAGGAGCAATGGCTGAATTTTACACATCACTAGCAGGAGTAGCAGTTTGTTCTAGAGAAAAAAATCTAGTGATTTTTAAGTAGAAGGTGCCACTGATCTGAGATCTTTTGCTGGAATTTCTCCCCATAGCAAGATGGTACAATAATTCTGTGCTTCCCCTGGGACGTGAGAAATTAAATAATCCTTGCTGACTCTATGTAAGAAACCACTAGGACTGAGTCTCATACTCCAATATTAGGCATATGTTTTGATATTACCAGCTTTCTGAATAACTGGTTTTACTCATTTGTTTTCCTGTAACAGAAACACCAGCTATACACTTAACACCTATTTACCTTGCTTTCTTATGATGCTAATCTAGCAAAAAACCTCTGTCATATGAAGTGTTTTGCTGGGCAGGGCTTATCTTTTGGGGAGTACTTGCGTGTCTTTTAAGCATGAGCGAATGTTCACATGGCTGCTTGCACTTTGAATTCTAAAAGTCAATCTGTTTGAAAGAATATTAAGGAATTTTAATATTTATGAGAGCAGCCACACTTAAGACTACTTTGGGAGATGGTGATCACAACTAGAACTAACCTGCCTGTGGACACGTAAAGCTGTTACCTTGATGAACCTTCTGATTACTGGCAGTGATGAGAGCGTTCATTTAGTGACCTGGTTTTTGAGGGGTTTCTTTTCAATAGATCAGAGTGCTTCAGAGCAGAAGGTGACAAAACTAGTAAGCAGTTATTTATAAATCTGATTTGCGATTCCATTGCTAGAGTAGAGTTGAAGAAATAATTATATCTATACTTCAAATATGTTCTAAATCATAACTGCATCTCTGAAGGAAAAAAGTAGGCAATATACTAATATCAGAGTTTGGAGATGAAGCTGTTCTTTGAGCTATACATCTTCTTAATCATATCAGGAAAATCTAAATAATGGCTATTAATTTCAGAAGTACCAAGAATGGCTACATCACCTTAATAGTAATTAGTTTAACTTGACATTTTAAAGTTTTAGATACCATTACATTTTCCTCTTTCCTTTTTTTTTTTTTTTCTATTCATCCTTGAAGACGTTAACTGAGACAGGTTATGAAAAATATAATGAGGTAATTGTAGCATGTGTGTGCACTGTGTGAGCATTAATGTTAGTGCTTCTTAGGTCAAGATGTGTGTATAGTGCTGATTAGCATATATACATTACTGCTTGTTAAATTACAGTGTAGGTGTTCATCATAATAATTTACACAATTCCTTTTTTGATGGTGAAAACCGTCACATATTAATTAATGCCCATAGTTAAATTTGAGGATTTTGAGGATTTGAGGAAGCTTTCCTTTAGTACATGATTTTCCTTTCTGAAACTCATTCATTCAACCTTTAGGAGAATTACATGTTTTCATTGTGTTTCCCTATCCCTTTTTCTGCTTTTCCCTTACGGAACAGAGATATTACTTACTGCTGTTATTTTACCAGGAAGTTCCTGTAACAGGCTTATTCACTGTTGTCCAGAAAACATTATGTTTAAATAGCGTTTTGCTAACAGACTAGCTTTCATTCTGGCTGCACTCTGCCCTCGCTGGAGGGAATTCAGCTGATGAAAAAGCAGATTGTTGGCTGGCACAGTTTTAGTTGTTTAACATATTTGAGTGGATTAAGATACAGGTGAAGGGAAACTTTTGTTTTCTTCTTATTGAAATTGGGAGAATCTTTAGAAACTCCCACAATTTAAACCCCCAAAAATTAAATTGTTTTTCTTTGGTGGTTTTTTGAGATGATTGGAATGAGCGTGCTGGGGAGTGTGGTACAAATATGGAAAAGGCTCAGCATACAGCTGGTCAGTGCTGGCATACGTAGAGCTGACCGAATGGATCTGCCTGGACTTGAAGGGATTATTGCTGAATCTTGTTACCACTCTGTTTCAGTGGGTTTCTTAACTGTGAGGATTCTTCTATTAGCAGTGCTAAATGTACGTAAATGATTCCACTAGCTTAAGTGCTGGGAAGCGTGATGCAAGCACTCAAGTTACCAGGCTTTATACCCTGGACTGCTATTTCAACTAAACATTGGCTGTGTAGGAGCTGACAAAGCCCATGTTGAACCAGGGCTTACTGAGTCAGCTTGGTGCCTTTTTGTTAAACAAGTCCAGGCTAAAAGATGTTACAGGTTTAGACTATGCGAAAGAACCAGTTGTTTCTTGAGCTCTGTCTGGAAGTTACATAGCTGTGCTTATAGGGACAGTGTTGCACTGAAGATGATAGCTCCACAGAGACAGACAGGCTCAGCAGAGTGAACTATGTTTTCTATTTGTAGCACAAATTAATCTACAGTTTGGATAAACTGCTAGCAGATAATTGAAAGTTGAGAGGAATACGTCATTTCCTATTTTAGTTTTTGTGCATGAATAAAACTTTTAACAATGGAAGGGAAATCTCTTCAGAGATTTATCTTTTCTCACCTTTCTTTTTTTTGTTCTAGTGTATGGAAATGTATCATTTGAGTACCGTACTTTTACAATTCAGAATTGTATGTAACAATTGATTTCATATGCTAGAGATTTATTTTTTGATTTTAAAGTATTTTGGTACTCAAGGACTGTCAAAGAAGACAAGTTGACAATAAATAGTTTGCCATAATGCTATTTGCAGTCCTGTGCTTTATGGTCTTAAGTTTGCTCTTTCTCCATATGACCACATAACTAAATCATCAGCCAGTACAACAGCTTCTTGTGAGGAGATGGTGGTGTGGTTTATTATTATAGTCACCTGGTTTTATGGAAGTAGGTGAACATTTAGAAGAACTCGGCCTTCAGTGTTCTCGAGGGAGAAGTTAGTGTTATACCTTCTGCCTTCTTCCCCTTCCACTCCTCCCTTCCTGCCCCTCCACAAAGAAGCATCTTTCAAGATGGAATTAGTTTGAAATATCTCCTTAATGTTTTCTGGGTTTTTTGTTTGTTTGTTTGTTTTCCCCTCTAGATCAAATGTTCTGGGTGATCCTGCAATACTCTTTTTTTTTTTTTTTTTTTTTTTTTTTTAAATGCACCTGTAGTCAAAAAATTAACTTTTATAATACTACATTGCTGCTTAACACTTATTTTAGGAAATAAACCAAATTACCAATTTTATGCTAAGATTTCAGGGTCAAAAACCTTTAAAATGGCAAAATATTTCATTTGGGCATTAATATGACTTACTGCAGGGCAAAAGGGGCAGAAATGGATGCATGCATCCTGTTGTCATCCAAGTGGGGAAATAACACAAAGCATCCGTTCCAGCAGCACACTTCTGTTGTTGATTCTTTCATTTGAACTGTGTTCTAGTATTCACAGAAAATAATGTGCTGTCTGAAAATACCTTGAGTACCAGTAAAAATGTTATTTTGAGAATCTGAGGATTCTGTTACTATGTAATAGTATTGTTTTGATAACGATTTGGGAATTAGTTGTACAAAAAAAAAGTAATTTTCAGTGCCCAGCTACTGCAGTGGTTGGAAGGAGTCCAGTGCTGAGTGAAGAAGAGGTAACATTATATAATCGTCAAGGAAGGACTAATGGGGTGGGAATGGTTTAAGAGTACTCTAAAAATTAAACTCTTCATTCCTCCATCGAGGCTTTCTTAAGTCATTGTTGAAGTAGATGGCAAGGATTTCATCTTGCTTTTATATATTCTGGGTTTGATAAGACTGTATTACAGTAATGACTTGCACTGAGTCTGCTTTTATGGAGGAGTTTAATCGTGGACCTCATACTTCATGACTTCTGATGTACACATCTATATCCAAAGCATAATGTCCAAATGATGTTTCATAGACATGTTGGATATTTTCTGACAGTATTGTTTCATTTTATGTTCCACTAAAGACTGCTAGAACTACTTTTGGGTAAACCCAGTAAGAGAGTGAAAGGCTTGGGTACTACTGCATGTTAAATGCAATTATCTGCAAGACTTTTCCACAGCTTAGAGAAGTTATTTGAACTATGTTAAGTAAAGACTGTCGTGTATGAAATTTGAGGGGCTTTTCCCCCCCAGATAAAGCCCCTCTTAGATCTCTGAAATCTATCCAGCAGGTGTCCTGTCATCCCACAGTCTTTCTGCTTTGACTTATTTTGAATACTGAGAAATGAGTGAGAATGTGTTTGTGTCAGTATACAGAGAAAATAAGAAAAATATTAAATTTTTTTTTTGATGGTAGAATCCGTTTCAGTAAGTGATGGGTAGGAAGGAAGGATCAACCAAAGCCAAATCTCTGAAGTTTGTAGAGTGTGCTTAGGAAGGATGCTTTTATTCAGCATCAGCCATATTCCTCATGTACCACTATTAATTTGTGGTTACACAAGAGTGAATCTGGTTTGCTAAATTCTAGTGTATGCATGTGTCCTAAGTTTTGATGTTCCTCTGTTCATATTGTGCATTGTTAACTTATTATTGTACGCATTCCATTTGGAGCTCTAAGCAAATAACTTACTGCTGAAGACTTCAATATGAAGACCATGTCTTTGCTTACTGTTGTTTTAATATAATTTCAGGAAATTAAAAAATTCATCAGAGGTGTTTCTGAGAAGATAAAAAAAACTAGGGACAAGTATGGCATTAATGACAATGGCACAACAGAGGTAAATAGTTTCAAGGGGGTAATTGTGTAGTTATTTTAAATCTTCGTAAGCTATTGTTTTTCCAACTGTTCTAGTCTTTTTTCAGCCACGAGTTTTGTATCAGTTGGATAGGATTACTCCAACACAACTAGAGAAGTTTCTAGAGACTTGTAGGGACAAATACATGAGGTAAGTGTGTAGCCTGTTATTTTCCCTCCATTTATCCCCTCACCCCACCAGCCCACCCCCAGTTCAGTATTTATTGCTTTGTTTGCAAGCTAGGAGTGCATTTTGCTATTTTTACTGGATGAATGTTGATTCTGTTGTGAATGCAGTAGAAATGAAGAGTAAGAAACGGTTGGCCCCAATGATACGAACAGTGCAAGACAGAGGTAGAATGCCAAAAAAAAAAAAGCATTGCCATCTACAGGTACACTTAAGGCAGACATATTCTGTTCCTCCCCCTCTTGCAGGAGATTGTTCCAGACCTCCAAAGAGTCCACACAGAATAATGTCTGAATAGATCAGTTTCAAATCCATATGAATCTTGATGGTTACTCTTGATCTACACAGTCTGAAGAGTTACGTCACACTTTGTGCTACCATGTTCTTGAATCTGTTAGGCGCTTGTAGGAGCCTTTTGTAATTCTTGGTCTCTAACAGGATAGTGGTAGTGTGGATGTTCATCTCTTACTATCCATTAAGAGTTGTTTCGTTTACTTAGACTGCTTGTATTTGTTCATTGGCATGCAGCCGTTGGTGACATCTGCTTTGTGTCCTCACACTCACCTGCATCAATTGTTTACTAATATTTTTTTGTTTTGCTAGAAAATTCATGTATATGTTTAAATTCTTAACTATTTTAAAGCAATTACTACATTTCTGCTTTCAGTTATATGAGGGTTACTTACTTACGTTTGTCTTAAGTGTTCTTAAACATGAATTGCCTATTTTACTATAGTAGGTTGTTTTAGCATACTTTATTATGCTGGTCTGATAACTGAAAGATAGTACCCTTGGAAAGGGTCTAATTGATGATGAGTTTTGTTTTATAGACTTTTGTTACTTTACAATAGGTAAGATTTCAGCAATTGTTGAGTAGATACGACATGAATGTAAAGAGACCTCCAAATAACAGTGAAAAAAATAATGTCTATTTAAATAATTTTGTTTTACAGTCAGCCAGAAATAATTCCCATAGATGTTACAAGCTAAATCGCTGTTAGACAGCATTTTTACTTGGTAAGAGCTCGTCAAGGAAAACGCAAGAAGCTGCTACAAGTTAGATTGATTTAGGAAGCGGTGTTGTGCTTCAAGTTCAAAGGTTGTGTTTGCTCTAGAAAAGCAGATCACATTGCAGTCTGTGCAAGCTGAAGAATGCTAACTGCAGGATCTGAACAAAATTCTAGGAGAGAGTGTAAACCACCCCTCACACCTAATTTTAGATCGCATAGTGTAGTGGTCTTCATTTTTTGTCCTGTAAGGACAACCGGTTCTCAAGGCACGTACATCTTAGAAAGGGGCAGATGTGGGAATGAGCCCATTACACACATAACATGAAGGGGGGAATGGGTTATCAGTATAGGGCTTTTGAATAAGATGAAAACAAGAAGGCATTAATGTCTATTTTCTTTTTCTGGTTAAAAAGTAATCTGCATAACAATTTCTTAAAGACTTAATAAAGGTCTCCGTGCTTAAAAATATAAAGGGGCGTTTTGGAAATGTTAGTGTATGGGATTTCCCTGAATGGGAATCTACTGCTTGATGCTTAGGAGGAAGAGGACAAGCAGTTTCTGTTATAGATACTATACTGGATCTGTGGAATGCCAGTATAACAAGGCATCCTCTTGCCTTGCGTGAGATCAATGTCTTGAGTATTGGTGAGTTTTTACCCTCTCTCCTGTTCGTTTACTAAAAAAAAACCCCAAACAAATAAAAAACCAAAACAAAACCAAACAACTTCTCATATATTTACCAGTTCTTTCTGTGTATATATATATATATTTTTATTTTTATTTTTTTTTTTAATGAGAGCATTTCTTTATCAGGGCACAGATGGAACCTGGTTCTGCAGTAGGAGCTCTTTGTGCACAGAGTATTGGTGAGCCTGGCACACAGATGACTCTGAAGACTTTCCATTTTGCTGGTGTTGCTTCAATGAACATTACTTTGGGTGTACCAAGAATCAAAGAAATCATTAATGCTTCAAAGGCTATTAGGTACTAATGTTTTGGTTTGGTTTTTCCCTTTGCTTAATGAAATCTGATGGTTAAATTTGCAATATGCGATAACATTTCCCTGTTCTCAGTAATACACTGACAGCATTGAATCCATGGAATACTGAAACACAAAAAATCTAATACCTGGCCAACTAAGGGATACGTAGGGCCACGAAAGAGATAAGTTTTATTTTTCTGAAAATGAAATGAGGTAAAGTGATTACTTACTAAGTTTAATATTCTGTCAGGTGTCTCATATATTGTGAAATTTCCTCGTGTTTAGTGGTAGTTGAAGCATACCTTTTCCTAGGTATCCATGAAGCCATACTTAAATAATACTAGAATAGTGTACGCCACGAAAATAGTCACTAGTTTGTTGTGTTATAATCTTGTGTGTGTGTGTACTTGTTTTTACTAGCCTGAAGTACATGAACAATAATTTTCTTAAATGTACCTGGGGAAGCTGAGGAGTCTTTATCTTGCTAAATAGTACTCTAGATTATGAGATTGGTTCCATAAGGCAAGCTGTAATTCAGATTGCCATCTGTAGTCTAGCTGAGCAATTTCCTAACTATTTATTTTTTCCTGTGTTTATTCTTTGTAGCACCCCTATTATAACAGCACAGTTGGACAAAGATGATGATCCTGATTTTGCCCGTCTGGTTAAAGGAAGAATTGAGAAAACTTTATTAGGAGAGGTAGGAAAAACTATAATGGCCACTGCTTTAAATGTAAACATTAGCCAGCCAATTGCTATGGGGCATTTTAACCATTTTCAGATGCTCAGTATTTTATCCTTATCTCTTAAGATTTCAGAATATATTGAGGAAGTGTTTCTTCCAGATGACTGTTTCATCCTAGTGAAGCTGTCTTTAGAGCGCATTAGACTACTGAGATTAGAGGTGAGTTGTTCAGTTCTTATGCAGAATATGTCTTGGATAAGTTCCAAACGGTCTCTTAATCCTGTCTCAGAAACAGAAATCAGACCAGTGGAAGTTCAAAAAAGAAAGTGAACAAAAGATGTCCTGTGGCTACATTACGTTTGGATTTTTTTCCCCTTTTTTTTTTCCTTGTAAAGTGAGTAATTTTCCCTTTGTTGGAAGTAAGAGGACATACATTCCATTCTTGGTGTCTTGTTAAATATAAGGATGCCATTTCTGTCCATTAGATAGTATACAGGCTGGTACCCTCAGCACAGGATGGTATTTCATGCAACTTACAAGAGTAACAATTTTTGTTTATTTTTCTACGCTACACTTTTTTTATATTCTGTTGAAAGATTGCTGCATGTATTTTAGCAGATTTATATATGCTAAGAGGGATACCCTGATGTTTGCTGGCTGACTTTTGCCACAGGTAAATGCAGAGACGGTGCGCTACTCTATTTGCATATCTAAACTCAGAGTAAAGCCTGGGGATGTTGCTGTCCATGGAGAAGCAGTTGTATGTGTGACCCCTCGTGAAAACAGCAAGAGTTCAATGTATTATGTATTGCAGTCCCTGAAGGAGGAACTACCAAAAGTAAGAACAAAGACTGTCTCGTGCTTTTGTGACAAGTAATCAGTAATAATAATTTGGGGTACTATTATGGGAAGACAAAATAATTCTTGTCAGTGTTGACATGGTCTGAATCCATAACTTTTAAATTGCAATGCTGCTGCTTTACAGCTGAAACTCAGCCTCCATTACTGAACTTTATAAATGAAATTGAAGCCTTAATACTTTCTCTACAACATTTACTGAAGCATTCTGAGTGCAGCAGTTGTATGAAATAATTATATCTTCTTCCAGCTGCACGTAGAATTGAACCATGTGACAGTTATCTGGCATTTTTGCAGCTTTCTGCGAGGACACTGTCTAGTTGGGATTTTAAAAACCCTTATTATTGGCAGGATGCCCTTTCAGTTGTGTGGATCTACTACCATTCAGAGACCCAGGTCTGAGTGTGATGATATCTCGCATAAAACATAAAATATAGGTAGTGAGTAAGGTTTATAGTACAATGTGAATGTCACATTAGCACTAGTGTATTTAAGAGCAGGAGATCTTATTTCATATGTATTTGAATTGAGCATTTACTCCAAAGACTGGAGCTTCTAAATAGTTTTGAATGCTGATAAGGGTTACTCTTTTATACTGCATTACTGTACGCATCAAAGTTACTAGTCTTTTTTTGTTCTGTCAAGGTTGTAGTGCAAGGTATACCAGAGGTTTCACGAGCTGTCATTCATATTGATGATCAAAGTGGAAAGGAAAAATATAAACTTCTTGTTGAAGGTGATAACCTGCGAGCTGTTATGGCTACTCATGGAGTGAAAGGAACAAAGACATCCTCTAACAACACTTACGAGGTAATGTTCAAATGGGTATTGTGCGTTTTTTCCTTGTAGCATCTCTATTACAAGTGCTTGTTTGTCTTCAGATGCAGCAGTTGATCTCATCAAGCCTGATTTCACTAATACTTGTCAGAATGAATTAACACAACAGAATAATTTGACTGGCAGCACCATTCACTTCAAAGAAGCTTTTTCTATAAATATCTTCAAAATGGAGGAATACAAAAGGGTAGTAATGGAAATGGAGTATTATCTGACATCAGATGCTATTTGTGCCAGGGATATACTTGCTCCAAGCGTTTCATTCTTCATTAATCTAACATAATCTCTTGTGTAGGTAGAGAAGACACTAGGAATTGAAGCTGCTCGGACGACCATTATCAATGAGATTCAGTATACAATGGTGAACCATGGTATGAGCATTGATAGAAGACATGTTATGTTGCTGTCTGATCTAATGACTTACAAGGTTTGTACTATGCTTTTTTTAAAAGTTGTATTGGCCTGTTTATACAAATTAGTTTTACCATGTTTGAGAAGGATGGGTGAGCTAGGGAGGTGGGAATCAGTTGTAGGTTGAAAGAATTGTAAGTTGTACTGACCAAATACTGTTGTTTGTGTATCAAACTGTGCTTAATCTATCTTGCGGGTAGGGAGGACAAGGTCTATTTTGACTGAGAACAAGTTGATATAATGAGTAGGGAATCATAATTTCATATTGGAAATAGGAATCCTAAAAATTGTGGTATGGAAATCAACTGTTTGGGTAACCATGCATGCAATTTAAGGCTTGCTGTGCAGAAAACCACATGGGGTGTGGTTCGTAGCAGCTGCAATATTTGTAAGAGTCAAAGGATATAGACATTGCAAGTAGAGTCAGATTACGTTTAGAGTATGAACAGTCTTCCAGAACTTGCTGGTAGAAAATCATATCTGTTCTTTATTGATTGACTGTCTCTCCTTCACCTCTGATATTTTTTTTTTAGATTTGAGTACACTTAGTGAATTAATATTTTCCACTTTGCCTGCCAGAGTGCAAGGGTTTAATTTTGGGTAGAATAGATGAAGGAGTTCTGACTTCTCCTAAAACTGTAGGGCTTTGTTGTACTGAGCTGCAGCAGTCCCCAGGGCTGGCTGCGTGGAGCTGCAACACAATAATGGAACAGGGTATCAGAGTGCAGTGTTTTGCACTTGTTGGGCTCCTAGCGTGCATTCTTTTGTCTGTACTTTTGACTTGTGCTTCTGTGCAGTCTGTTATAATCAGGAAGTTTGTTAGAAGCAGAGACAGAAATAAACCAAGTTAGTTTAAAAAGCTATCAACTTTTTTTCTGGAGAGTGAAAAAAACAGAGATTTAGTATCTTCTGTAATCTCCTGGCAGCTGAAATCAGACTTATAAGTAGACAATAGGCAGTAGGTTCAGCATAGTGCTCTCAGACCCCACTGCTGAGTTTGTAGCTCAGCAACTAGTTTATAATTGTGTGTGTTTTCTCATGGCCATGTTTCTTTCAGTCTTTTCAGAATTCTTTTAAAAAAAAAAAATTAAAAAAAAACTATTAGCCATTTATAACAGCTGCTGTTGTGTATGAATAATCACTTCTGATTCATTTAAATAATGATTAACTATTATTCAGGATGTTTAATTGTGAAGCAGCATATTATGACAATGCCATGTTGTTGATAGTAAGGCTTTTACTTGTTTCATGTGTTTGTTAGAATAAAAACTATGTTTCTGTTTTTCATTTGATTTGCTTCTTAAGCAAACATAACTGACCTCCAGCCACTATTGTGATAGTCTTTCTTTGGGTTTTTCCATCACAAGGGTGAAGTGCTGGGCATTACTAGATTTGGACTGGCAAAAATGAAGGAAAGTGTGTTGATGCTGGCTTCTTTTGAAAAGACTGCAGACCATCTCTTTGATGCTGCCTACTTTGGACAGAAGGATTCTGTTTGTGGTAGGTATTGCAAATTCTGTTGCAGTTTGTGATCCTTACCCAGCATCTGTAAACCTCTTCAAAGCATTGGATTTTTGCCTTTGTTAAGCTTTCTGTTTAGCTTATATTTCAAAAACTTCAGGTCTGAGGCTGATCCATACTTGATCCTAGAAGTTTGGTGGATGTTTCTCTAGTTCTAATCTCAATCGAAGATCTTGAAGTTAGTTGGACATTTGTTGTTATGTTTCTTAAAGTAGACTTCTAGTAATTTGGGTTTACTTCTCATCACATAGCTCAGTGCAATACCAGGAAACTTTTCCCGCTGTCGGTTCTGTTTTTTCGCTTTGGAAAATTTGTGTATCTTCAATGCCCTAAAGCTGATTAAGGAATCTAGTACCCCATTCAGTATTTAGGTTTCATTTTCATTGCTACCAAGTAGGAAGACATGTAAGTCTCAGGTAGCATAGGTGAATATCATACTGTGCATAATGATTGCTTATGTCATTTGTCAATTGTAACTAAAATAAACAGAAAGGCAAAGTTCTTGACCTCTTTGGTTAGTTCTAATGTAAATAGATAAAAATTGTGTTTGTTTTTTTTCTAATTAGAAGCCTTGATTATCAGTACTCCATTCATTAACTGAAGAGAGATCACTGTCCTGAGAAATTTCTTTTTAAATGTATCTGTTCTTCAGTTTTAAAGTTCAGTTTGTTAACATCCACCAACTCATCTTCTCACTGAATTCATGCAAGAATCTGATAAAAGTTTAGATGTATACATGCACATAAGTCCATGCGTGCAGACCTACATACAGCCAAACTGAAAATTCAAGTAGATGAGTTTTGTCATTCTGTTTGTCTCTTAATTTTGCAATTCTGCCATGTACTCTAATATGTGGAATTGAAATTCTTAATTTTTTTTAAACTCTTTTGCTCTGATTCCTCCCAGATTTTTTTCTCCTTTAAGCTACATACCTTTTGGAATGATTTGTGAATAAGTCTATGTAGTAGGTTAAGCAGAGAAAAGGAGAAGTCAAAACAGGTTTCACCCTCTTCCATCACCTGTTTATGTAAGGCCGACCATCCTGGAGCTTTAGCCGCTCATTTGGAGTTTCTGAGTGCTAATGAAGTATGAAAATATGAATGTATTATGTTAAGGTTTACTAGTTCTTATGTGTTTGTAGCTGGTCTTAAAAAGTGTAGTCAATTTTAAACAGTGCTTTGTGGACAGTATATTTTCTGAATTGCTGGAATCTGTTAGAAACCTTTAGAAACTAGTGTCCAGCATTCCAAGTGAGTGGGATTTTCTTTTTTTAAATTATTATTTGCCTCTGATTAAAGTGAGGATCCTATGACAGACGAATTCCATTCTGGACAGTAAGGAAAATAAAATGTTCTCTCAGAAGTCCCCTCTAAGCTGGTAAAATCTTGGTTTGAGTGATGTGGAAACCAAAGATCTTTTCATGTTGCCTTCTATATAAATGTTTTAGTTCAAATAAGGAAATGGAATGGACAAAACAGAAAATTGTTGTCTGTCTTCCAAGACAGAAGAGATGATACTGGCTTGCTTGTATGAAAGTGCTGTGCAGCTGCCTGACCTGGCCATCACTAGTTACCTCTGAATTGCTATGAGAACACACTCTTACACACTCAGGGTTTTGCATCTCCAGAGCAGGAAAAAATTGTAAACGTTGTCGAGAAAAATGAGTATGTACCCAAAATGAACTGTAGGTGCTGAACTGAATGGCCTCTCAAATCAGTGCTGCTGCTGAACGTGTGGGTGTAATTCTAGACCATGTGGCATTTGAATCCCTTTTTGTCTTGTAAGAAGCTTCACCCCCCAAGAAAATGGGGAACAGCTGATTCCTGCTTTACCTCATAAAGACAAGCAGTTTCTTCTGAGAATTGCTGGTGCCACCTTTCAGTGGGCAGAGTGGGTTGAAACTCGAGCAGAGGAGTACATCCAGTTCCAGCAGCATCCACTATAGAAGCAGGATCAGCAAGTGCAAGCCACTGCTTAAGAGATATAGTTGATCTACTTTTCTGTCCCCTTCCCAAAGAGTAGCCAACAGCACTCACCTCTAACTTAAGAGTGGGAACTGAAAGCTATGGATCAGTACTGAGACATTCATTTAGGAGGAGATGGTCTGGAAGGGAAGCGTCAAAAATAAACTTTGCAGTAAGAGCAGTACAACTGGCTTCATCTCTGCCTAACTCTTCCAGCTGAAAGTGAGAGCAGCCATTTATAGCTGTCTGCCAGATGCTTAGATCTGCACTGATTATAACTGGTAGTGTTGAAAGACATTGCACTGGAGGAGTCTTGGACGGTCATTAGAGCAGGGCATGCTGCCCTGACAGTTCTGCTGCCACCACCACCATCATCATCTTCACCTGTCCAATATGATGGTCATTGGCCTCTAGTAACATTAGTTCGAGCAGATATACAATTGGTCGTTGTAGTGGCATGTTCTGTCCAAACATTACCTGCTATACATGACTACTGTGACGTGCTGCAAACTACCACTTTGTCCATGAGGCAAAAGGGAGTTGGGGAGGAAGGGCTTCTGGTCATATATGTGGACGTATTGAAGAGAAGAAGGATTCCCAAAATCGAAATGCAGTTTCTGTGGTTCAGAGCTTGTCTTAGCTTGAAAAGTTACTGTGCAAAACCAGGTAAGTTTTATTCTGCTAGGTGTTAGAAAGGTATTTTCTTTATCCATTGTAACCTGCATGCTGTAGGAGCCTAAATAAACAGAGACTCCTAAGAATTTATTTTACACAAGATTTTTAAGTACTTAATGTTGGAAAATACATAGTTAGAAATGCAGCAATGGTCTAAGAACAAAAATACAGAATCTTCATTCATATACATTTAAATTGCCAATCAAGTTTTTCCAGAACTTTAAGCAAATTTATTTTCATCCTTTGGGCAGTCAAAGGTACAGCTATTTATTTTTATTTTCTTAAACATCTATCTGAAAGACAATATGCTTACACTCCTGAGAATGTCTGAAAGTGTCATTTGGATCATAACAGTACGCTGAGGGAAAAAAACCCACTGGTATCTGATGGATTCCTCTTCATGTGGAACGTTCTTTGGAAAAGTTGTATACATCAGTGGATCTGGAATATAAATGTGTCAGCACATCGCTGTGAAAATGTTATAGCTATCACAAATTATTGGGGCAGACTAAATCTTTAAATTCAAAACAATTACTTTTTGTATCATGAAAATGCTAAAAATGGTATAGCTGAAGTAGTGGTATGCCTCTTTGACTGGGAAGTTGCAGGGTTGTCAAGGGAACTTGGCCAGATTTGACTGAAGTCTTAGCACTGAGTCAGAGAATTAACATAAATTAACGTTGCCTTGCATCTCCTGCTGTTGGCACTGAGTGGAATGTGTCTTCTCCAAAACCAAATCTTCTGAAGCTCTTTCATTGCTAGAGAAGGTGTTTAGGTTAGGTTGAATTTCTCCTGTCTGGGATTTAAATAACGCAGAATAAATAACATACTGATCTGATGACAAAGAAATTTAACTTTATCTAGTGAAGAGGTCTTGGTCTTCACATGTGGGGTTCAAGGAGATTTTGTAGACAATGCATACAGAATAGGCAAATGACAATAGTTTTGTAAACTTTTACTCTTCAGATGTTCAACATGTTTGGTTTTTTCCCTAGGTGTGTCTGAGTGCATCATCATGGGAATTCCAATGAATATTGGCACGGGACTTTTTAAACTGTTGCACAAAGCAGACAAAGAATCAACCCCTCCCAGAAGACCTCTCATATTTGATAATAATGAATTTCATATTCCCATTGTTACATAGCACTTGGATGTAATAGAAGATACCAAAAAAGAAATAGCAAGAAAAGGTCATTTAAATTAAGTAATGTATTGTCAGTTCTGTGTCACAATAATTGTGAATTGGTAAGTGAAGTACTGTCAAAAGAATTCCCCAATTGTTTACCACCTGTTGTTGCTGCAGACCCCGAAAGGAGATGCTTCTCTGCACTAGAGAGTGGAAATAAAATTAAAGTGGATTTCAGCCGATAAAATTTTCTTTTTTATGTGCTAGAACTAGATCTTTGTGTTAATGTTAGCAGGTGGAAGTTGCTATTAACTCAGTATTAGACACGTGTATTCAGATGTGATTAATAAAAGCAAAACTGCAGGATAGTCCTGTGAGCTTGTGCAGGGTGCAGTTGGAAGTGGCCTTTCAGCAAAGGAGGTCAGTCTGTAACTGTTAAGAACAAAGACTTCAGAAAGCTTACAACTGAGTCTGATTCATTCATACTGAGTTAAACTTCACGAGTGCTGTTGAAAGTTCTTGGAATATTTGCTCTTGGCTTGTGGATTCCTTTTAATTGTGTTTCTTTTATCCCAAGTTATTATCCAGTAAATGGTTTTCCTTCTCAAGATTCTGCTTTGGGATGTACCTGCAAGAAGCTGCAGATTGTAAAGCTGTTACTAAATTCTGAGAAGACTGTTACAAGAACATTACAAATTAAATAGCTTTTCATATTATAGCAGTCCTTATACTGCTGGAATCTATGATTTAGAGCGGTCTTAGTTTTGGGGAAGTTTCATAATTGAGCAGGATCATCTGAACAACCTAGTTCCATTTTAATATATAAAGTAGAAATAGAAAGGGAAGCTGTTTTCATGCATTGCCGTGAAATAATTTGAAAGTATTTTAATCTTCAGCCCAATAGAGCAGTTTTCTGACTGAATATAGATTTTAAATTATTTCAGTGTAGTATGTTTAAATGTGCTCTGGTGCTATGGAGGGAATGTATCTCAGCATTTTCTTCTCAGCGTTGTTTGGATATTCAGTGTGCTCAGTCCATGGGTCAGGGTTGGAGAGAAACAAAACAGAGAAAAAAGCTACAGTTGTGCACTGATGAAGTAAAAGCAGGCTGGTGAATGATCTTCCATTTGAAAATGATTGAGTTTGTGCTAAAGTTTGTTTTCGTGTAGCAACTGATAGAAAAGCGTAAGTCTGCATTCAGAGAATGTAAATTTGTTGTTTTAAGTCTTAAGGTGTAACTGTGTGTATTTTTTAAATCATCCTCCATGCAGAAAAGACCTGATGTGAAAGTGAACAAAGCTATTCTCAAATTATTTTGTTTTTTCAATGTGATACTAAGATACACTTCTGCCTAGATTTTGGCAGGGTAAAGATAAAGACTGAGAATGTAATGCGTTTATTATCTGTTCTAAAAGCCATATGTATTTTGCAATCTCCCTTTTAACAATAGAAATTTCAGAATAAATTTTAATTTTCTTTTTGATCTCAGTGAGATTGCCACTTACTGATTTGTCTGTGTAGAAGTCTAACTCCATTTCTTTTTAAAGATGTAAGTATAAGATGGGTAGGGGCCAAATGGAGAGAAAGCCCATATGCCTTTCCTGTGGATAAGTACTTTATTTGATCATGTTCAAAAGGCCATGGGAAATTCTAATGCAAATGCTTGATAGTTTTGTGAATAAAGGTTCTTCTGAAGATGTAGATGAGTGGAGGTGGTATTGAAATGAGTAACGACCTCTATTTTGTAAATATAGTGAAATGCAGCTATTTAAATGGTGGTTTTACTCTCTTGTATGTCTTAAAAATATTCAGTACATTACATCTGTTATCATTGTCTTTAATATGACAATAAAAAGAGGCAGACGTAAAGAAAATGTAAACCTTGTGTTTGTTTATTGATGCATTATATTTGTGCATAATTAGTTTATGAATATCCTGACCTCCATCTCCCTCATTTGCTTAGGTAAGACAGTTGAGAATTACGGAGCTCGAATCGCAGGTATTTGCAACACAAATGAATATGTAATATAAAGCTAGTCTTGCTTAAATTGCAAGCAGGCTACGCATTTCATAATTGTTTTGTCCAAAAATAGATTGTTTACAAGAACTCTGAATTAGTAATTATTGTTTGGGCTTTCTGTACAGTCAGTAAAGTAATTAGCTGTTGGATTTCACTCATAAGCAGCTTTTTTTTAACGGTCCGTTTTAATAGTCAAAGAAATAGAACATTGGGATATTTCCTAAAATTTACATTTTAATTTAAATTTTAAACATATTTCTGTAAAATTACTAGGTAACAGTAGAATCCTTAGAACAGAACACCCTGGACAGCCAACATGTTTTTTGCGTGGAAAAACATCACTGATTCATTTATGATGTCTCTGAGTTACTACATGTGTAAAAACATTTGTAAAGTTTATGCTAAAATCTCTGGTAATTGGGTTATGGGAACAATTAGGTACTATCATTCAAGTTTGATCACCAGATGCCCTTGAAATTTAAAATGTCATCTGGTTCCTGTAGAACATAGGCATTGAACTTAGAATAGTAGGGCTGCTGAAGAATCTCAAGTATGAACTGCATAGCCAGTGGTGCAGCCAGCAGGCAGCAAGGCCAGCTGCCAGTGGGAGGCCTGAGATGGGAACCCTGATTCATTATGGTGCTGCTGATGGCATACTTCAAAGAAAGCAAGAATTGCCTACCAAAATTCATTAATTACGGATATCCATATCCTATTTGCTAATTTTCTCCACGTTTTTCATCTGGTTTAAAACAAATGTAAACTTTTCCTTTTAATTGTCAGGCCTAGAAACTCCTCAATAAGTCATTATTTATAAATACATATTAAAAAAACCTGATCCTCGATTTCTCTTTTTTTTCCCTCTGCAAGGTCTGCTGAAAATACTTTACTGTATGACTTGCACTAAAACCTGAAAACAGTTTTCTATCTTAATCTGAAGTAAATGGCAAAGCAGATATGTTGCTCATTTGTATTCTTTCAAGAACAGTAGTTCTGGATTTTCTATGTAGTGGGTCAAAAAAAACCCTTCCATCTCTACTTTTCTGTCTGCCAGGAGTAGCTAAATGAATAATTACTTCTACAAATACATCAGTAGGTACTTGGAGATGGATGGAGCTTCTCTATGACTCTCTCGGCCCTAAAAACAAACAAACAAAACCCCACCTTTCGTCCCTCTGATTGGAACATAGAAAATGACCTGCTGGTCTGGTGACAACTGAGATGGAAAAGCCTGGACGCCTGGCAACAAGTAGACGGCTGCAGTAACGCTGCATGGCGCTGTGCCTACGAAGGGATCAGCCGAGCTCGGCAGTGAGGGCAGCAGCTCTGCAGCGACGGGAACAGACGAGAACATGAGCAGAAGTTAAGGTGAAGGGGACAATGAAGAAATCAAGTGGAGAAGCCAAGTAAAGCTCTACTTCCCCAGGCTATCCCAGGAGGGTTCGTATTCGCTGTGAAATACATTTCTGTGACAGCTGTATGGATGGCAAGATGCAGCTGAGAACATTCAGGAAAGACAAGCCCATGTCCAGGGGCCACAGCCATTTGCTGTGGAGATGGGCAGGGCTGTTGTCCTGGGTTACAGTGTAAAATGTG